CGCCTCTCGTCTCGTCCGCCCCCCCCCCCCCCCCCCGTGCGTGCAGTGTTCGAGGACACGGTGGAGGAGCGTGTCATCAACGAAGAGTACAAAATCTGGAAGAAGAACACCCCTTTCCTGTATGACCTGGTGATGACCCACGCCCTCGAGTGGCCCAGCCTCACTGTGCAGTGGCTGCCTGATGTAACGAGGTGAGACTCCTACCTGCGCTTCGGTGACCTGCGTAAACCCCCATGCGCCCTGTTTGGGATACACTTTTAGGATAATAGTGAAAGTAACAGCTTGCAAGAGGGAAATAATCTCTTTTTAAGCAGTCAGTCGTGTCTTCAATATCTGAGCTACTCCTCTTGCTTCACTGTGGCTGACTGCTAGGAGTATCAACACTGGAAAATCTGTTTAATGTCAAATGCCTTTAACTGCATTGACATGGATTTACCATAGTAGGTGCTGATGTCAAAATGTCTCCATTTAATGTATGTGCACATAGAAGTCTTATTCATACTATTCAAGCAATAGTGACAAGCACTCTAAAAGACTGGGATTTCAGTATTATTAAAGATGTACTTGTTACATTTACTGATGTCAAGAACACCTGGAGTTCAACTTGTAAACATTTATGCTGATATGCCTAATGTGGCAGGGGAAAATGTTTTTCCCCAATTAATCTGTAGTCTCCCATAGAAATTGGGATGATACAGAAGAACTTTGCCTCAAAATATTTAAAAGTACAATACAACTGTGTTCAGCTTTTTGTAAGACTGTCTGTTTTATTGAACAGGCCTGAAGGAAAGGATTATGCCCTTCATTGGCTAGTGTTGGGAACACATACCTCTGATGAGCAGAACCATTTGGTTGTTGCAAGGGTCCAGATTCCTAACGATGATGCTCAGTTTGATGCTTCTCACTATGATAGTGAGAAGGGAGGTGAGTATTGCGGGAATTTTTAGATTGTGTTCTTCTAGCAGCAGTGTTAAACAGTGCATACCTCGTTTAATTGTCTTCTAACTTGGGTTTTAACTTTAAAAATATTTTTTAAGGGTCTGTTTGTATACTAAACTTGTTTATAGTATATAACAGTGTCTCTCAGCCTTTCCAGACTACTGTACCCCGTTCAGGAGTATTTCACCGCACTTAGTCTACTTGCTTACAAAATCAGACTTAAAAATACAAAAGTGTCACAGCACACTATTACTGAAAAATTGCTTATTTTCGCCATATAATTTGTAAAGTAAATCAATTGGAATATAAATATTGTACTTACATTTCGGTCTGTAGTATATAGAGCAGTATACTCAAGTCAATGTCTGCATGAAATTTTAGTTTGTGCTGACTTTTTATGTCAGTGCTTTTATGTAGCATGTTATAAAACTAGGCAAATATCTAGATGAGTTGATGTACTCCCTGGAAGACCTCTGCGTACCCCTAGGGGTACGTGTGCGACGGTATATAGTGTAGTTCTAGAGCCTTAATATATTTTACTCTGACCCTTTTTTAAAAAAAATCTGAAAGCTGATAACAATTCATGTTAAGTATCACAGGGGTACCCGTGTTAGTCTGAATCTGTAAAAAGCAACAGAGGGTCCTGTGGCACCTTTAAGATTAACAGAAGTATTGGGAGCATAAGCTTTCGTGGGTAAGAACCTCACTTCTTCAGATGCACCTCCTGCAAAAGTCTCCTATTTGACAAATATTGACTTTATTAGGTCTTTCATTTGTGATGCTTAAGCTACCTGGTAGACTAGCTTAAGCAAGAGATTCACCCCTCGGAAGGTGTTACGTCTGGTCACTACTTATTGTGATGACCTGTTCAGATTAAGAATACTTCACTGCTTTCAAGATAAGAAGATAACTTTTAAGATTTTATATTAAAGGGGTATAGTGTAATTAATCTTCCATGTGACTTGTATTACTACATTAAACAACTTGCGATTATGAAAAGCCTGAGAACACTGGCTTAAGACACTTGAAATAGTTGACACGATTTTAACCAAAAACCTTTTTTATATGTATTAAAAAAAATATATAGAATTTGGCGGCTTTGGATCTGTAACTGGTAAAATTGAAACTGAAATTAAAATTAACCATGAAGGTGAAGTAAATCGTGCTCGCTACATGCCCCAGAACCCCTGCATCATCGCTACAAAAACTCCTTCCTCTGATGTGCTGGTTTTTGATTACACCAAACATCCATCTAAACCAGGTGGGTCAACCTGCTTGAATTTGTATACAATAACTTCTCTAGTATTATAAATGTAGTCTAGATGTAGACATGAGTCTGACAGTAGTCCGGTTTATTGTATTTTGATGCTAAAGCACTAAGGCCTGGTCCACACTAACCCCCTACTTTGGACTAAGGTATGCAAATTCAGCTACGTTATTAACGTAGCTAAATTCGAAGTACCTTAGTCCGAACTTACCGCGGGTCCAGACACGGCAGGCAGGCTCCCCCGTCGATGCCGTGTACTCCTCTCGCTGAGCTGGAGTACCGGTGTTGACGGCAAGCACTTCCGGGATCAATCCCGGAAGATCGATCGCTTACATCCGGACCAGGAAGTAAGTATAGACGTACCCTGAGTGTCTGAAGGTGCCTTAACTCCTGTGCTAGTTAAAAACAATTTGGATTAGTTAGAATATGCTTCGGGTAATTAAGCTCAGGAAGTTTGCCTAGGTATTTCAGATTTGAGGTGATAGAGTAGGACCCTCTGTGACTATCTTTAGCTCTCATCAAGTGTCTTATAACCTACTCTGAACAGGAAATTGAAAAGCAAATCCTGCTTCTCCCTGTAGTAAGCATATGCAGACAATTTTGAAATTGTATTTTATTTTGCAATGCAAAAATAAAAATTCCATCAATTACAATCCATCATATTCTTCTTGTTTAAAGGAGCTCTAAGAGCTAAACAATGGTTTGGTTCTTTTTCAGACCCAAGTGGAGAATGTAATCCTGACCTTAGGCTAAGAGGACATCAAAAAGAAGGCTATGGTTTATCATGGAATTCCAATTTGAGTGGACACCTTCTCAGTGCATCTGATGATCATGTAAGAAACTAACTTCCCCCTTTGTTAATACAAAACAAAAGGAAGAGTTGCTGATTCACATGGCCTAATAGTATTTTTCCCCATAAAATCTCTTCCACTGGTCTTCTCCATCCAGTGTACACCAAAATGCCTTCATATTTTTAATTCTAGATGTTCATGTTTCTATCCTTTATACCCTGAAAGCCCACTTACCATAACACATCATCCTTAACAGAAGGAGGTTAATGCCTATCCCATAATAGCTACTCCTGTGGGTATTCGGCGCAAAAAAAAATTTAAAAATTCTGCATATTTTATTTGTCAAAATAATGCCAAATCACACCAGTTTAAATTGTTTCTGTAATTTATTTAAACTACAGAAAGAAGTCACTAACTATTCAGCATTTCCTAAACACATGAAAGTTGCAAACACTGTAACTAATACCCTGCATTCCAGCTAAATTACATTACAGAACACCAAACAGCCCCCCCCTCCCCCCCCAAAAAAGTAGAATGTCATTTTAAATTGCACATGAAAGTCATGCAGTTTTTGCTAATCATTGTCCTGGACCTGGCTGGGTATTTTGGGAAGCGCTTGGTTCTGATTGTCCTGATTGACTGCTGAGTGAATGTTTTATTTGCCCTCAAAGTCTTTTTTTTTTTTTTTTTTAATTGGCTAAGTAAAATAAATCCTGAGCTGTAATCTAATCTCATTGTGCCACTTTGACACAGGAAAAAAAGTGAGAAAGCACATAGATCTTCCTAGCTGATTCCCTTTCTGTCATGTATAAGACTTTACATCATTCTGGCAATGTAGGGGCCTTAAAACTTTTACAGGTTTTAAGCTCCTGGGGGAGTTGACTGAGAATGGGAACAGTTAACTAACAATAGGAACATTAACAATGGTTTTGGGGTTTTTTGTTTGTTTGTTTGTTTTTTTTACATTTTTTGGGGGGGGGGATCTGCCTGAGGGGTGTCGTCCGCCGTGTCCCCCACCATTATGAGAGTGGGGGGGGGAGGAGAAGATGACGATCAAACACCGGAGGCAGGAGGGGAAAGGGGAACAGGTCGACCACTTCTCCCTGCTAGACTGCAGGCAGGGGAGGAGGGCGCCAGACGGGGATGGCTAGATGGGGAGCGGGGAGAGCTATCAAGGACTTGTTGCGGGTTCGGTCACCGACTCAGGATGGGAATCCGGCTCCTCTAGCTGCACTAAGGGAATGGGGGATATAACTGCATTGGGGGTGTGTGTGCAGTGAAACGGGCAAACTCAAACGGGAGGGGCACAAGCGCACGGGAGTGGGGGGGCATGGGCGCATGAGGGGTGGGGCTAATCAGGGCAAGGGGGGCCGCAGGGGGAGGGAAACAACCAGGCTGTTACTGGGCAGGCAGACTGCTGCTGCTGCTACATTTCTGCCTCAGAGAATAAGATCAATTTAACCATCAACAGCAACATTAACAATGGTTGCTTCTTTTTTTTTAACTTAAAGGTCTTTATTTTCAAAAATTGTTATGTTTTAAATCCTTAAATTACTACATTTAAGAGCAGTATATGATCACATTTGCTTAGCTGTACGATCTTCTGATGAAGGAACAATAGTGGTTTTAACACCATCACTAGGGGCCAAGTCTGTTTTATTTAACTGGAACACCATGAACTGGAAAATACAGCCCTCTGTACTACTACTGGGTGCTCTAAAACTTTAGGATCATCCCCATACAGAATCTTGGCCTTTTTCTAGGCAGGCAGGGTGCTGCATTTCTGCCTTTGGGACGGAGCCTGCCTTGTGCATAATAAAAAGCCCTACCCCTCCACGCCAGTCTCTCTCGCTTGTTGGCATGCATGCATGCCCAACCCTGCCACCTGACGGTGATCAACGTCTCCCACAAAGGCACGCATGCCCAGCCCCCCTCCCTATGCAGTGATTTATGTCTCGGAGGCTGGTCCAGGCACGCTGGAACAGATGCTCAGCCTGGACTGCCGGGGAAGAGGCACATGTCCCCTCGCAGATTTTTTTGTATTTTTCTGCATGGAGGGCACAGAAATATGCAGACCATATGGAGGTGCTGAATTTTGTCAGGAGTAAATAGCCAAAGGGTTTGTTATTGAATGGCACGATACAATCTCTCTCTTCTCCTCCCCTGTCTCCTAAAGAAATTGCTGAATGAATGTTATATTTGCACTAAAGACACAAACCTGTGAGATGAGGTTAATGTCTTGGGTTGCAGCAGCATCTGTGGAAATCTTTTCTTTTAGTCTCCCTTTCTTTCCCTGTCCTTCCTTCCCCAGTAAACCCTGCTTTGGTATTTGGTGGACTACAAAAACTACATTCTAATAAAGTCTGGGCAGAGACCCCAGTAGGAATATCATAGACTCCCTTTGGCTTTAGTAAGCTTTTTTTTTTATAGGCAGTTATGATGGTGATGTGTAAGGGCATAACTTTATTAAATGAGGCTTTTTAAAAGACAAGAATGATGGTCTCAAGTTACAGAAAACACTCGAATGCCAGCAGTGTGGCATAACTATGTTAACAATTCTAAAACCTCTGAATATTGAACTTGTATTCTGATGTCAGACAACATAATTGGAATACAACTAGATTACTATCCATATACTGAAAGATTTACACCAAGGAAAGCAAGTCTGAACAATAAATTACATTGTATTAAAATGTGACTTTTGTCTGCAGACTGTTTGTCTGTGGGATGTAAGTGCAGGACCAAAAGAAGGCAAAGTTGTTGATGCTAAAGCAATCTTTACTGGACATTCTGCAGTAGTAGAAGATGTGGCATGGCATCTGCTTCATGAATCTTTATTTGGATCAGTTGCTGATGATCAGAAGCTTATGATGTAAGTTTGGGAGGAGAGTTGGGGGTGGGGAGAAACTGAGCAGTTCTCTGGAACTTACAATTCCCTGCTTGTCAATGCAACTGTCTAGACAAGCACTGCACACTGCCTAATTTAAAAAAAAAAATCTATTCAGGCTATGAGGTGGCCTGCAATCCTAAAATACTCTAGTCTTCTGTTGCATTAACATGAAGCTAAATCACCTAGATTTTACAGCATTACTTGTATTTCTAGGAATCTGGATAGGAATAATCCTAAATGTGCCTTTCCTTCTATTTGTTTTACTGTTCAATGTTGCCTTTCTTACTAAGACTACATTGTAAATATAGACCTATGGTTAAACAAGTGGTGAACGGGAATCATGATTTTACAGTTTCTCTAGTGACCTACATATTTTGGGTACTTTTATGGTCCCATCATTGTAGGTCCAAAGCCATGTTGCTGTGATCCACAGAACCCCTGCTCAGCTGCCACCTAATCTTGTGGGTGTCTAAAATCACTAGATGCCTAAATTTCTGCTGTAAAAAGTTCCTTAGCACCTAAGTTTCTACCTCCAAACATGTGCATTGCTGCCTTAGGTAGGCATCCGCACACCTAAGCCCCACTGCAATTCTCAAACCCTGTGAAGATCGGTGTTGCCCTCCCTATCTCTCCTGTGGGCTGGATCTGGCAGGTGTTTGATCTGAGCACAAAACAGCCACTTGGTTATGGCATATACTGAGAGGTAGAGGAGAGAGTGTTTCTCAGTCTCGCCTGTTGAAGTTGTTCCACTTTAGCCCAATGAATGTTTGTAATATAGAGACAGTGAGGATGATTCTGTAGTCCAGTGGTAGGGCACTTGACTGAGAATTGGGAAACCGTGCTCAAATCCATTCTCGAAAATCATGCAGAAGGAGGAATTTAACCTGGGTCTCCCATATTCCAGTTGAGTACCCTAACCAACGGAGCTAAAAGTTATAGGGAAGGCTGTCACTGCTGCTCCCTCCTCAAGTCCTTTTGTTTAGCTGAGGCTGTGTGCCTCAATCTTATGTATTTATCCTCACAACGCCCAGGAATTACAGTAGAAGGGGCACAGAGTGGCTCAGTGACTTGACTAAGGTCACAAATGAAGTCTGCAGTGGAGCAGATAATTGATCCTAGGCCTCACCAAGTTTTTATGCTGGTGCCCTAACCCCTGGATCATCCTTCCCCTTGATTGACCTGATAATTCTATTTAAAAGCAAGCTGTAAATACCATCAGGTCAGGTGGACTGACTAAATATTAATCTAGTGCTGTGAACTTTTTCAGAGATGTGAGGAATCCAATCACATCTGTTTGCTCTAACAAATTACTTGACAGACTAATCATTCCCCTTGATAAAAGGGAAAACTCTTGAGGGTGTACAGTGAATGCTTTGCTTTTGCCAAAAGGTGAAATACCTAGCTGCTATAAATCTTCTAACTGATTAGTATGTTCTAAGACAGATGAGATTGTACTAGTATGGAACGACAAATGACTCTCAATCCCTTCCTTCTCCCCCCCCCCTTTTTTTTTTAAATGTTGAAACTTGTGTACCATGCTTTTCAGCCTGGAAGGAATGTTTTAGTCCCAAAGTAATGTGTGTTAACCTACAGATATTTAATGTGTACAGTTTTTATGTAGTATGAAATGAGTGCTATCTTTGTGACCAATGTTCATTCCACTTATAGCCTGTTTAGATGAAAAGTTAGTGCGCGGCATACTAGTGTGCTGTAGATCCACACACACTAGCTTGCTGGATGTGAACTGTTCATTTAGACAAGTCTTCAGACTGGGCTGTTTCAAGTGCTGAATAGGGTTTAGTGTGTGAGAATTGGTTCTCCCTTCTACCACCTTTGACTGGCATTTTTTGTGTGTTCTTCCTTCTT